TTCTTTCTCTCTGGGAGGGAGGATTATTGTGTACTCACATAAGACAAAAAAGAAAAGTTTTTCCTCCCCCTCCTTTCTTTTTCGCTCCGACATACCGATCTTTTAATTATGAGTCTTCACTTGATTTATTGTCCAGCCCATTGCTCCGCTCACAGAGATCCCATTAATTAGCAGTCTTTACTCCCAAGCTTCACTTGAAGTATGTGCATTTGCTACTATTTCCAATTATATATTTCGAGCTGATGCAAACCAGTGCGCGATTCAGAGACAGCGTCCAGGAGAGCCGACTCCACCCAAGGGCTTTGTGCCTAGTGCCCTCACCCCATTCTTTCGAATCTGGGGGTGAATTATGGGCACAGCAGGCAAGGCAGTCCCCCCCATTCCCTTGGGGGGGCAAGGGAGGCTGCATACTCCCATAACAGCCTCTTAATTACCTCGTGTGGGTCGGAGAGATGTTATTGTTGGCCATCTTCCAATGCGCTCCCTGGTGCCCCCCCCCCAAAAGCGCCAAACTTAATCCGTTCTGGAAGTCCATTTGACTTCCAAAATGTTCGAAAACCAAGGCACAGCTTATGATTGGTGCAGGCGCCCCAGAAACAATAGCCAACAGCCGCATCGGATGTTCGGCTTCTGAAAAACGTTCGAAAACCGGAACACTTATTTCCGGGTTTTCAGCGTTTGGGAACCAAGGCGTTTGAGTACCAAGGTACCACTGTATAAGAAACAATCAGATAAATAAACAAAGGTTTTGGTGTTAAGTACAAATTCCACAGCATATTTTGGAACTGGGTGTATTTGATTATTCCAGCTCAACTTTCTTACCCTCCTAGACTGTTTCCCCAAGCTTTTATAAATGGTGATCTGGATCTTTACTTGGAGTTGAGTATCTGATATATTGTCCTGGTGTGGACCAAAGACAAGGTATCTCCTCTAGGCTCTGAGCAGACCCGCCTCACCCTTTCCCATGTTCCCTCTCCCCATCAAGTTAGGCACAAAGAAGAACTCTTGCTAAAGGGCAGGGGATTGGATATACCCATATTAACAATGGACTTGTTACATATTTGGGGACTCACAGAGCTATAGCCAACCACCTTCTATGCAGAGTCACTGAAATTAATGGACCTGTTAGTCATGTTCATTAATTTCAATGGATCACTCTTAGCAGAACTAATGTTGGGTGTAACCCATAGTATTTTCCCATTCTGACATCATTCTCCTAAGCAGCACCTTTGAGTTCACTGGTTCTTTCATCTTGGCTTTCTAAAGTCTGTCATAGATAGTGTTTCACTGGCAATGCATCTGCCACCAGCATGTTTACTCTCTGATGTGGAGCAAACATCTTGTTCCTGCCTCAGGCACTCACTAGGTCTAGGGAGGATAGAGCAGATAAAAGGTGCCTTATCGCTGCCGTCAGAAGTTACTGCCTTTTGGTAGGCTTACCTGTGTTCTTTATCTGCACCAAGAATTTTGAAAACCTTAATACAAATATATTCTGCTAAGCAGATCTGTCACCCAGAGAACTTACGACTTGCCACCACAAACTTCCTTTCCCTTCTCACTTCAGCAGAATAGTCTCGCAGCCGTGGCTCAGATCGCTTGCAACTCTTAAACGAAATGTCAGCAAGTCTTCGCCAAGACATTCATTATCATCCTGACTTACAATCTCATCCCAGGAAGCCTTCACATCGTGCCACTCAACCGGATTGACTGTCAGCTTTCCCCTATGTTTTCATCCATATTTGCCGCCTTCATTATCAAACCTGTCACTTCACCAACATCCATACAGTGCAAGGTAGTTTAATTTTGTCGCTCATGCAATGGCTCTAGTGCATCTGTCTGATAAGCTGAAAAATGATATTATACAACAATGTGGCATTTCAACTCTGCGGACACAAACACTGGTAAATCAGTGTCTTGCTGTACCTACATGAGCTTTCTTTGCTGTGTACGGTGCAACAGCCATATGAAGTCAGTGATGAAACCCAAGCAGCTGGATAACACAGAGGGAGAATGGAAACTATGCATAGCTGTATATGTGTTAAGGGGGATGCAAGTTGTGTGGTTAATGTGCAAAGCAACCTGCCATGAGTCACATTCACCCAGCCTTCTGGGGATGCAGACTGTACATTTCTGAACCAAAGATAGAAAAAAGGAATGTTTCTTGGAGACTCTGCATACTGACCAGAGAATGTGCACATTGCCTAGAGAATGTACAAACTGCAGTCAAGATCTGCACAATCGATCTGCTGGGGATTATGCATAATGACCAGAAAATGGAGAAAATTCATGTCTGATCTACACATTTCCCAAAGTCTATTTGGGATTGTACATAATGGCTACAGAAAGTACAAAATTCAGTTGATATAGGCACATTTTCCAAGGTCTGTTGCAGATACTACGACACATTTTAATTTGGCTTTAGCCCTGCCTTCAACTGCCTTGGTCAACCATGTTGATTACCTTTCTTCAGAGAGGGATGGGGGAGACAGTCAGTAATCACTAGGGGGCACTGGGCTTAGCTGTAAGTCAGAAGTTTCCTTTATCTTTTCTGTTCTTTGAGAGAGAGAAATTAAGTTTTGTGCAGCTTCTTGGCTGGTGTGTCCACTAATTCTTCCAAGTCATCAGGACATATGTTATGTTCTGCAAGCAAATAGGTTCCAAATTTTTGTTTGTATATGACTGAAAAGCATAATAACCTATTAACAATCATATTAAAAATGGGGTGCGTTTAAATTGGGATGCATTGTGTATATTCTCAGAAGCTGTTCAGTGTCATGTTGCCTCAGAATGTATCCACATCAACTCAATTTGTAACTCCCCTCTGCCCCAAGGCATTCTGTGGGTTTATTCTAGCACCGTCTCAATAATTTTTTTTTTTATTTTTTGTAAAAGACTTACATTGTGGATGCCTAGGCACTGATTGGACCAAAATTTTGATTCCATGCATAAACACCCATGTACAATGTATAAATCAATTTAAGAACAACTCTCAGAATAACTGTTGAGAAGTATAAAGGATACAAAATGCTAAAACATGGATAATAAAGCAAAATGAAGCCATTGCAGATGAAAGCTTAGGAATACATGACTTCAAAAAGAATCCAAGGTAAATGTAATGCAGATAAAGGCTAGGACAATAGATTGCAATTGAAAGCAAAGATATTATGGCATTTCTTTTTGGTTGTCAAAGTGATTGGAAAGAAGACTGTCAAATTAGAATATTTCCATTGGGAAAGTAACACTCATTAAAGCAGGTGGTCAAAAATGCTGGGCTCTGCAAGCAGATTTGCTCCTATTATAATCTGTTGAATAATATATTTACAGAAATTTCAAATAATGCCCTAAATAATTCATTTCATTTCACTACCAGTGAACAAATCACACCTAGCTTATAATGTTCCAAACAAATACATGATCTACTCATTGCATGGATTATTTCAGCCTACGGTCAGACACTTAATATTAACCACATCCCCACTTGCATCTCACATGTGCCCACCTGGTCTCCAGAGCTTCAGCATTTTGACAGAGCATTTGAATTATGAGTTTAGAAATCTTCTCATACAAATGTTCATAGAAAAAGGGGTTGAATAAGTCAAAGAAATACTACTACTGTTAATACTGTGGCCACAATCTAGTAAGGTTTGGGTGCACTTAAACCATTGCCATTACAATCTCTGGGCAGGACAAAAAATATTTTGTGATCTTTATGTAATATTGACCATTTCAAGAAAAACAAGGTTACAAAGAATATGGCATCTATCCCTGAAATGACCGCCACACTGTCTACAGCAGATAAGGTTAAACATTAAAATAAGCTCCCTAACTTTTAGAGTAGCTTCACCATGTAACAAATTGTTTTGGAACCCCAGGGGCCTCCCTTCTTTGGAAGTTCAAAAGGACGCATGAGACAGCCATCAGACAAACATGCAATATTCTTTAAGGACAGGTTGGATATTGTGAAGGTGATGAAGCTGGGCAAAGATATAACTTGCAGTTCTCCGTCATATGCCTGAACTGACAGAGCTCAATTTTGTCCACCTGCCTTTGCCCTCCATTTCAATTTACACCTGTCAGCTTGGCTTCTGATTAGTTTCAGCAACACACAATACAATTCCCATTTATACGGGCAATTTTTCCGCAGAGTAATCTCCTCTCTTTCCTTTAATCTTCAGACTAGCATCAACATGTTGATGCCTTATGTTATTGCACTTTTGGCTTCAAAAGTGGATTTTTTTACACTGGCAGAAGCTAGAACTTATTACCATAAGCTGCAACGATGCTTGAAAATAAGAATTTCAGCATTGCACTGCCTAACTCTGTCCTGATGAAACAAACTCAATGTTATTTCACTGCCTTGAACTTATTACTAGCATCACAAACATTGGTTTCTGCCAGAACCTAGACAAGATAAACTCATGAGGGTTTGGACTGAACAATCTTGTCTAAATAACTTGCACCATAGTCCTAAACCATGGCCAGGAGCCAGGAGGCAGAGCGGACACATTTAAAGTCCCACTGGCTTGAGGTGGCCAGGGTAGATGGTAGGAATGGTGGGGGCTTTGTGCCATTCCCCCCCGCATCAGCTGGATTGGCTTCCTTTCCCAGATGTTTAGCAGATGTTTCTCCTTTCCTTTCCCAGATGTTTAGCAGCCAGTTAGCATAGCTAATTCTGCTCCACCTCTATAACCCCACATTGTGGGGCTCTACATTGCCTACTGCTTAGCATATTAGAAGTGTGCATTGACTTGTGATCTTTGGATAGCTATTTTTTCTTAAATATTTTTTCTTTTTGCCAAAATCCAGTGAGGATGTATTGTGAACAGAAACTTTGTCTTGCACAATCAAATAAGGTGGTCAGCGCTGCCAGTTCTGGTGATCTATTTGGCAGGAAATGGCAAGGGATTCTTGAGCACAGCAGTGAGTGTGCAGGCCTTCGAAGCCCTTAGATACATCTGGTCAATTATGAAAACAAGCAGTTAAGGCATCACACGAAAAGACAACTGGAGCCACACTTTTATTTATTCAACTTTGAAATGCTGATTAGCTAATATATAACACGGTATGGTATTCAGCTTGTCCATTATTAAGTTCTGTGCTTTAGTACTAATAATAATTGCAAATGAGCATACTCTTGAAAAAAGAAAGTTTGAAATTAATTCAACTTGTCCCTGTTTCCCAGAATCGACTATCATTAGAATTTTGCTTAAAAACAGGCTTCCATGATACAGTATACTATGAAGGCCACAGCAGACAAGCTACTTACCAGCAGCCTCAGCGAGATGGGTGGGCTGGGCCTATTTAAAAAATAAGAATTTTAAAATTGCAGCCCTACAGACTTACCCTTCCACATTCATTTGGTCAAGAGTTAAGTCATTGTTTTCAGCGCCACAGTTCTGAGTTTTACTTCTCTATAAAGAGAAATCTGTGGATGAAGATACCTTTAAAATTTCACAGCCAAGTCAGTTAAATTCTGGAGATCTACAACATATGTACAGTATATAAATATATGCATTTATGTACACAAACGAAGGTTAAAACATTATAAACAGAACCAACTTAGGCTGTACAAAAATATCCGCTTGGATGAGAACATGCAAATACACTATGCTTCAAATCAAATTCAAAAAGCATCTCTGAGTTGTGTTTTCTCAAATATAAACTTCAGCTCACATAGATTTTAAAGCAGATTTATCAAGAGAGTCAACTTTCCTAGTAAAGGTATAAAATCTATTAATAAACACTAGGTATTAACTAAACTCATATACAGTGCTTTTAGGTGATCAAGTTTCAAGTATTTTTCTTTTCTCACAGAAGTCTAGATACTTCAGCGCTCGGCTTGACTACTACTTTGATCAGATAGGACAATTTCTCTGAAACCACTTGACAATAAATGGTTTGAGACTCACAGCCTATGGGGTAAAATTAGAGCGAAAGGGGTGTCTGAGAGTGCTAAGGAAGATGGCTTTCCCCTAAGCTGTGCCTACAAGTGCTGTATATGCTGGTGCTCATGGGTCCCTGATCCTATATCCACTGAAATCAGTTGCAAAAACACCCCTTTTGCTATTTATTTTTTAAGGCCAGGAGGAAAGCACCCAGTTTGATTTCTGACAGGAAGCAGGATACAGAATTCTTGCTCAGTAATGACGACTATAGTACACTTGAGGGTGAAATCAGATACATTCGAAGTGTGACTGGCATACAACAAATAATGAGTTCAAACCACTTCCCACCACACTTTAGAATATCTGTCTGCCTTTATCCTTACTGAGCCAGGCTTCGAAGGTATGCAGCTGAGCTTTAAAATAGCTGCAGAACTGATACAATGCACTTGCTCTGGATCTTTCCACTTTGGGGTGTGTGTGTGAGAGAGAGTACAGAGATAGCCCAGTGTGCATGAACCCAGTCATTTGGGAATCTCACTGAAGGAGACATGGCAAGATACTATTCCTGTTTTCTGGGCTACAACAACAAACCCTTCCAACTCAATGCTTCGGTCCCCCATTCATGTTTCAAAACCAGAAGTTGCAAATGGCATCAGAAAGCTCCTATTTTGTCAATGAACCACAACATGATTTTCAGGGGGGCGGGAGGGGACTTAGGGCAGCAGTCTGGGGAAATGAGAACTGAATTGTTGTTTAAATCTAGAGTCCCCAATGTATGCTCCATGTACGCACCATTAATCCAGGGGTTCCCAAATGCACATTTCCCCCCAGCCAACATTCCCATAATGTTGTTCCAGGTAAAGAGAGCTTTATTTGCCTCATACACTTTAAAAATATTCCCAGCAATGAGTACTTGATAATATAGCATAGCCTTCTGCCTCTATAGTTTCATTAATGGTACTAGTTCTAACTGAAGGGATGTAAGTGCACGGTTGATATTGAAACGGAAGCCCTTGGTTAATTGTTTATGCAGCCGTCACAGTTAACTGCAGACTGTGGGGTCACAAAAGGTTCATTTATTTTCTGATCTTCCTTCAAAGAAGCCGCCTGGTCTGAAATTGAAGAGAAGGAGAGCTGGTCATGTTCTACTATGTGTACTCGGTCCTCTTCCTTGTCCTTCTTCACATAGAACATTTTCCTAAATTTTTTGAGCTCATGAAGTTCACAGAAAGTCTCTAAAACCACCAGCATTGCAATGAGGCCCAGCAGCAGGTAACCTAGGAAGAAATCGAAACAGTGTTTAAAATGTGAACTGGTAATACAGGTATGTCTGCTACAATGCTCCAAGTCAGAGAGGTCTCCAAAATGGAAAGGGCTCTATCTCTCCAGTTAGAACTATATTTCCACACAGGCTTTCGAGTATAAGAACTCTCAATGCAATTTACAAATAAAACTGTAAAAGTATAAAATACAGCTAATGAAACAGCAGTATAAAAAAATTCGTCACCCACAATTAAAACCACAGCTTATAAAATATAAACCAGAAACGTTATTCAGTTATGAGCAAACGGGAATCTTTAGGTCTTTAAAACTCTTTTGAAAACAATGTGTGGCATTCCTTTAAATAGTTGCGCATGTGCAAGGATTACTGCCAATGCAACAGGACTTTCCTCCTTCTGTGCACCCCATGCCACTCCCAAATCTTCTCAGATTTAGGGGTAGGGCAGGTGGGGAAGGAGAATGTTTCATTGCACAAGGAAAAATCCTTCTGCTGGTGGAACCAGCAACTTAGCGCCATGTTGAATACAGTCATTCTGCACCAGCTGAAGCTTCCAAAAAATCTTTATCTACAGAGTCATATGAATTCTACCAGATAGGAATGGCTTGTGCTTGAGTCACAAGCTATTACTAATTCCACATAGAGAGGTGCATCTTTAAATATCTATATGGCAGACACTTTGTAGCCCACTATGTCCTTACATGTGGCCCACAACATTGATTTTTGTTTATAATGTAGTATATTTGCATCTTATTCTTTCTCCAAATCATTCAGAATGGTGTTTTGGATAACAGTTCCATAGCAAATAGGATTTGGGAGCACCTCTGAAACATGTGATTCCACACCTTAATAAAAAACATACTTAACAGGATTTTGATAGACATTTCAAAAATCCAATCTGGATTTTTCCATTTACTTTTGCTATATGAATGGCTGGACTCAATGGGGCTGCTTTGCAAAAGTCACAAAAGAAACACCAAGAAACACAGCTCTAAAAACTATTCACCCTCTTACTTGTACCAATAATTTGCTACTCACATGTAATTCCTATTTTATACAGCTCTCTGAATTTTTGGTTGTAACCTTCTCCTGGAACATAGTCACCAAGGCCAATGGTGCTCAGCGAAATGAAGCAAAAGTAAAAAGATTCCAGGAAGTTCCAGTCATCTTCAAGGACAGAAAATATCGCTGCCGGGATGAAGAAAAAGCACGAGACAGTAACGAAGCCCAGAATCACCGCATGGATGATGGCAACTATCTGCTTAGAGAAGCCCCAGCGGACATGGAAATACAGCACAGGCCGCCTTGTTACATAGACAATAATGCGCTGCACCACTGCTGTCAGGAAAAGCAGTGTAAAGGGGATTCCAATGACTGAATAGATGATGCAGAAGGCTTTCCCTCCATCTGACAAAGGCACAGTGTGTCCATAACCTGTTAACATAGAAAGAGAGACGGGAGTGAGATTTGGAAAAACAGTCTGACCTGTGAACTGCTCGTTTTTCAGGAGGGGACTGATCACAGTGGAAGAGAATGATTTGCACCTGGAGCTCCTGACTGAGTGTGCTTTGTTCCACTCATGTACCAGAAAGGTTTGTGGATGTTTCTTCTTTTCATTCATTCACTAACCCCACCTCCGCTCAGTATAAATTGGCAATAAAAATGGCAATGACCTTTTGCCTAATTCAAAGGAAATGCGAAAATGGCATTTCACACTGTGAAAATGCTTTTTTGAAAAATGTTTTGAAAAATATATTGAATTTGCCATAGTGAAGGCTTCCTCAACCTCGGCCCTCCAGATGTTTTTGGCCTACAACTCCCATGATCCCTAGCTAGCAGGGCCATTGTCAGGGATGATGGGAATTGTAGTCTCAAAACATCTGGAGGGCCGAGGTTGAGGAAGCCTGATCTAGTGTCACATTTGTATAATGTACTTAAAACGCACTTAAAACGTAATATTTGCTCACAAGATGGTGTTCCTCCATTTCACTTAGAGGCACTAACCAGACAGGCAGCAGGCTACAGGGCTGAAGGGCAGGTGTCATAAAACCCAGCTTTGCACCCTGGCACCTGTCACCTCAGGCAAATACCTCACTTTGCCTAATGACAGAGCTGCCAAACACAATTTCCTCTTCCTTTCTCTTCCATTATTCACCCCACCCACTTTTCCTCACACTATTTTTCTGCATGTCAGGCATGAAGCTCTATAAGAAGCAACTTCTTATACACCAGCATCAAATTATTCCTGTGTGTTTGGGGTCTCAGGTTGAGATTTTGACCCAATATATATTTGCAAAGGCAGAAATAATTGGAGCATTAGCTTGCAAGACCTCTTAAGACATATACAGAAACACACAAGCACCCCCTACCACAATTTCTTGACTATCTGAAGGATGCAAGTTCCCACACTATGTTCTGAGTGCTAAGGCCAAAACATTTGCTATCCCTATAGACTCAGCAGACTAGTAGACTGCAATTCGTGTTCCATTTAAGTGTCTTGTAATTTTCATGTGAGTTGTAAGAAGTTATTACAATGCTTGGTGATATTTGGCTTTGAACACGAATCAAAGCTATCATTCTCTTTGTAACAATGAAATTTCAAGGATTATTCTCCTTTGAAGTTGAATTAATTTGCAAAAAAAGAAAGAAAAAAGTTCCACCTGTATTGTTATAGATCCCTCAGGTACCACAAGCTCTGGAGAGCACAGGCAAGATCGTGCTTGCTCTCACCAGGTGGCAAGACTCTGACCCAGGAGCAAGTTACTTCAGGCGTTAGTCTGTTCTTCTGTCTTGTTACATTAGATCAATCTAACAAAATCCCCTCTCAAATGTGACTCATTTCAACACGTATTTGAAGACTGCTTTTCAGCCCAGTTTCTAGCACACCAATAAGCATGCTAAACCTAATTCATGGCATTATTCCTCGGAGAGCCCATTAAATCAACGTTTAGGATAACTTTATATAGACCTGCTTTTTGTTGGCGTTTAGATAATCTATTAGCCAGATAATTTAACATCCCCTAGGACTGATGAGTTTCTTTTCAGCCTCTTTGATTGTTTGGACTCATTTTGCAAAGATTACAAATAGAAGATTTTTTTTAAAAGCAACACTGTAATAAGTCATGAAGCCTGGAGAGGACTTAAGCTACTTGTTGTCCCTCACTCTAGGCCTATCTCTCAGCAGATAAAATATTCCATGGGCCATCCATCCATCCATCCTGCAATACTGACACAACTGCTGTTTTGATGAACCGCACGGGAGCACAAGTTTTTCTCTCATAGAAGTGTGTAGCTTGTTACTGCTCTAAGCTGGGTGCACATGAGATATACAAAATCATAAAATAGGGAGGAAATGAGTGTAATCTGTGAATAACACAAGAAGAAACCTGTTGCATTAGATCAAGAGTCCTCCTAGTTCATCTGTTTCGAATACTGGCCAGACAGATACTCCAGGGGAAATTACACACAGGGCTTGAAAGCAACAGTTCTCTCCCATTCTATGACCCTGGCATATCATATTCAGAGCAGAGATGGACTTATCAATCTGTTTCTGATTTGTGTTATTTCTGCATATGTTAATTCAGTGTCTTCCCACAATGAACTCCACTGAAGTTGTCATCTATGCATGCTTAACTGCACCTTCCATTATCTAACTGGGTAGAAGCTGATTTGGGGGAAAGTGCATAAAACAGGGGTATTTATCAAGAACCTACAGGATACAGACGGATTGTGACCAATATTGTGTATACACAACTTTGATTGCTAGCTGTGGGAGCACACTGAACTGGAGTAAATGGCAATGTGTGCACCTGGGAAGTGTATGGAGTTTGCAGGATTGCTATCCCATTTCTCTCTCTCTTTGTGCTTCTATTGTTCCATCCCTCTATGCATATTGCAGATTGTCTGCCCCCATTTCTAACTCTTCCCTAGAAAGATGGATTAGAAGGTACCAAGATTATGAGCAACATGAAATTATTCAGGATGGTGAAGCCCAAAGAGAGCCTTGATTGACCATAAAAAGATCTCTCCATAGCAAGTGAACTGGCAAGAAAATGACAAATGTGATTCAATGTAACTGATTCAATTAAATGAGTTATCCAGTTAAGTGATATTTTCTGATCACATGCAGAGGGCTTCCTGCCCCTCCTCGCATGGATCCATCAGGTTCACAACTCCATCTATTCCTACGGTTTTGTTTTGTTTTTCAGTTTCTGCCTTCTGAGCTCTCCCCCACCCCCATTTCCATAGCTCAGCACAAGGATTTTCCCAAGGTTTTCTGGATGGAGCTGCCTCTTCTGCTGCCTACACACACACACACACACAGAGAGAGAGAGAGAGAGAGAGAGAGAGAGGAAGGCAGCATCTGGAGAGTTACATGAAATTAGGCCAGGGGCACATGTCCTCTCCCCCCCCCCCCCCCAAATGCAGTATTAAACTTCTGGCATATACATGTGTAAATGCCAGCTATAGCAGCAGAGGAAAATATATGTTCGTTTTTGTCCAATAAAGGACAAAATGACTAAGTGGAATAAAGGAATACTAGCTGAATCGTGATAAGAGTATGGTCCTTGCTTGCTTAATCTGCTCAGCTTGTACTATATACACAAGCTCAGCATGCAATGTCAACTCAAGCTGAACCATTAAACCATTGCAATTTGGGTGTAATTAACAAGCTCATAGGGACAACATGTGCTCCACTCACGAATAAGAAACTGAGGAAGGGAAGAAGCCACAAAATCACTCTGACCACAACAATTTCTTTAAGCAGACTAGATAAAAGGCCAAAAAAATTGAATTCTGCATCAACAAATGGTGTTCTGTGCTTTCTACTTAAAATCAGAGATAGTAAGCATGCTGATTTTTCAAACCTCATCTATAATTCCCAGCACGCTACCCCATCTGTCATGGTTAACTTTTGCTACCATCAAGAAAAAGTATCAAAAGATATCAAAGTTTCTGAATCTTGTTTCCAGGCAACAGACTTTCAAATAACGAAACTGCACCAAGACTAGTTAATATAACAATAGCAAACATACCCCCCGCCCCCCGTATCTGAGGAAGTGTGCATGCACATGAAAGCTTATACCAAGAACAAACTTAGTTGGTCTCTAAGGTGCTACTGGACAATTTTTATATATATTTTGACTGTGTCAGACCAACACGGCTACCTACCTGAATCTAGATACCCGCCACCCCAACAAAGTCAACTTGACCATCTACCAAATCTAGGGCAAAGTAATGCATTTCTATTTAATAAATGCCAACAAAGGACCGTATAGTTAAAGCTATGCTTTTCCCAATAGTGATGTATGGAAGTGAGAGCTGGACCATAAAGAATGCTGATCACCAAAGAATTGATGCTTTTGAATTATGGTGTTGGAGGAGACCCTTGAGAGTCCCATGGACTGCAAGAAGATCAAACCTCTCCATTCTTAAGGAAATCAGCCCTGAGTGCTCACTGGAAGGACAGATCGTGAAGCTGAGGCGCCAAAACTTTGGCCACCTCATGAGAAGAGAAGACTCCCTGGAAAAGACCCTGATGTTGGGAAAGATGGAGGGCACAAGGAGAAGGGGACGACAGAGGACGAGATGGTTGGACAGTGTTCTCGAAGCTACCAACTTGAGTTTAACCAAGCTGCGGGAGGCAGTGGAAGACAGGAGTGCCTGGCGTGATCTGGTCCATGGGGTCACAAAGAGTCGGACACGACTAAATGACTAAACAACAACAACAACAACTTAATAAAACCTAATAGCTAGGATGAAAGAAGCCAGAAAGTTAAACTTTGGGAAGTTTCTTTGAGCATTCTAACTAGAAAACTATCAATTTACTCAGCTGTCTGTTTACCCACTTGCTAGGCAACAGACAATCAAGAGCAGTTATTAGGGTGAGGCTCCAGCTAGTAATCTCTGGATGTTGCCAGGCACAGCTAAATTGATAAACAACTGCTAACTATCACCATATCTGGAAAGAGTGGTATCCAATGGCATCTGTCCACTGATGGAGAGAATCCAATAGAGGGAGGCATTTGGGGGCATACCTGCAACCCCTGCACTCTGGTGCAGATTTAAAGGGGAGGGGGGGTTGCAGGGGGAGAAGTAATTGCTAGAGGTTGCCTCTTTCCCTTCTTATGCTAACAAATATATTCCAGCAGCAGATGGACACTGCTGGATACCACCCATGGAGCATAAATGTGCTCTGGTGTGGGCTGGATGGGTAGTACTTCCAGTTTTCAGATGAACTGTTTATTTCAACCTGCAGTGTGCTTACCCGAAGGGCTCTGGGTGTGCAACAATATTTTATCCTAAAAATATTACAAGGAATCTTAATAAAAGTTACTAAATTGTACTCCAAAACCGAATTTAAAAAGAAAACTGCAAATAATTGTGGACTATGTTCTTGCACTGTGACTGATTAAATCTTAGTTGTGCCTCCTACAAAAATGTGAATGTGTTAATATTAAGCTATTAATTAGCAGCATTTATCTTGTCTGCAGAACAGAACATAAAAAGGAATATGGTAAGTCAAGTGTCTCTCTGAGGCAGAAAGATGCATTCAGTGCTTTTTCATTTTCTGTAGCAGCATTTACAAATGGGCATCAATTTTTAATACTCATCCTAATTAATCCAAGCTCTTGAAAAACACTGTTTATTCTTAGTGCACTGTGGCGATTGCCAGCTGTGGAAATAGCTACTGCTGAGTAAAGCACCTGTGCAGGATGGTGACTCAGCCTGAGAACAAATGTCAGTCGCAATTAATCCAGAACAGGCTTCTAAACACTGGTGCATGGCATCTGTCACTAGCATGCCAGCAGTATGATTTGGTCAACAGCAATTCATTGCCATCTACTAATCTCTCTCTCTCTCTCTCTCTCTCTCTCTCTCTCCGCCTCCCTCCCCCCCACAATCTACCAAGTAAGGAATAGGTTATGTATCTTGGGAAATTTATTTCTTCCTGTTAGATAAGCAGCCAAAATCCTGGAACACAGGAATATAGGAAGCTGCTTTGTATCAGATCAGACCATTAGTTCATCTAGCGCATTAATATCAACACTGACCATCAGCAGGACGCCCTGCCTGGAGACACCAGGAATTGAACTTGGGAACCTTTTGCATGCACAGCATGTGTTTGGCCACTGAGCTATGACTCTTTCCTATGATCTGCAGAAAATAAACCTCATAAAAGTAGGGAGTGGGAAGAGGAACACAATTTTCTATTCTTCCTTTAATAAACCAGGAATACTTTAAATTTGTGTTACAGAGAGAAAACATGCAAAACAAAAGCTGCTGCATTGACCAATATTGGCAAGCAACTTCCAACCAGGAATGGCAAATGAAAGATAAAGGTCAGAATCCTGCTCCATCTTTATACTCCTGTTGGACCAGGCCTTGGTAGGTTTCTCTGCTTGGGACAACTAGGTCTCATCTACAAAGGCTGCAGATATAGGCAGGGGTTGGGTTTTCAATACAAAATGAATAGGAATGGATGCCCAGGAGCAGGATGAAAGGTGGATACAAATGTGGGTACCTATTACAGTACATGAAGAATTAAGAGGCAGTGAATTGGCACCTTACAGTTCATGGGAGATAAACTCAGTGAAGTATCCATGGCTGAAAAAATTCCAAATGTTAAGAATGCATCATAGCAGAGAAAGGGAGATGCAGAAACTCGAGCACTTAGATTTCAGAATAGACAGATTGGTTCAGCATTTTGCAGATGTCAAGTACTACATCTTTTCAAAGATACTGCTTCATTTGAGAAGTATTAACTCCAAAACTTGGTTGCAAAAATCCTTGTGCAATGACTGCGGTTTTTGGAATCTGACACCTAGCCAGCTAGGAAGTAGCAAGATCTATCTGCATTAATAGGAGGTTATACTACCTCCAAAGGCTCATGAAATGTTGTTCCATGCTTAAAATAATGTATTTTTTGAAATATAAAATTACATTTCCAGCAATCTACATACAACTGCATGCTTTAGGAATAAATTTATATTGGATATAATTCATGTGTAATTTCTCAGCGCAAGTGCTTAAGGACTTTGGCTTATTATCTGCTGTGTTTAGAAAGTAGGTGTGAGGAAACAGAAGCTCATCCAATTCCACAGAGCTTCCCATTAGATCCCAAGGTCCTCATTCTACTATTAGACATTACCTCATTTTTTGTCCTCTTGGGGTGTTTCCAGATGAGGTTTTAAACTCTGTAACTACCACTCTTTGTTCACTCACCTTTACGGGGCCACATGGCACCATCATCAGCAACCTTTTGCCTTTCTGTGTTTTCCTCATGTCCCCCCACCATTTCTTAAGATCATGGAAAACCCATTCACTTCTTTTTATGGAAACATAGAGGAATTTCTTTGATGTAGGGTTGAGAAATAGTATAAATGAGGGACAAGGAGTGAGCTAATGATTACTTGGTTCCTGATATCCCACTGTTCCTGTTTGCATTGTCTCTTTGCAATGGTCCTTCCTCTTTTATTTTTCAGTAGGGAATGGAGAAATCTGAGGTGCTTCTGGGGGAAGAGCAGCTAGGAGTCCCACGCCACTAACTCTCCCTTATGCCTCAAAATGCACCTCTGAATGAAAAACTGACATACCTTTTTATGTACAGAAATATTACAATATGTAAATCAATCAGAACTTACTGCTGGCAAGGGTTGTAGAAACAGAACAGAAAAATGCTCTAAACTGCACACAAGGTGTAATGCAGGTGTGATACCAGGTCATGATACTTCCTAATCTGAATATTTTAACAAATGTTTGGTCATAGTTTTAATTTCAAGAAAACGAGTCAGTATTGCACATGACGCAGGCTTCCTAGCTGCAGTTTTAGCTACTTTGCTAACAGTCTGGACCTCCTCCAGGCCTTTGAGGGGTCCTGGTTTCATTTGAACTGGGAATCATGGTTTACATTAACTGTAGCCAATTTAAATAAGCCAACTTCTGGATAGATAGCTGAGCGCTGGGAGAAATATGTAACAGGAAGAAAAGAAAACACACACCTACCACTCATGGCCACCTTGCAATGAAAAAATAAGCTCAAACTTATGTTTACTAAAATTCTAAAGAAATTTGAAAGCTCCCTGAAAATGGAGGAGAAAAGCAGAAGCCTCTTTCACTACTTGTCTTATTATGCAACCCTGTGCATGTCTACCGAATCCCAAGTGTGTTGTTTATTTATTTAAACAGTTTATATACCACTTAACAATTGTCTCCCAGTAATATACTGAAAATATAATACAGAAAAAGGTAAACATTGGTTAAAATGATAAAACTAGATTTTAATTAAAATGCCTTTTGAAAGAAAAAAGTATTCAGTAGGTGCCGGAAGAACAACAGGGAAGGGTCCTATCTGACTTCAAATGGAAGGAAGTTCTGTAAAACGAAGCTCATAATACTGAGCCTACAGCTCATGGTTCAAGGATATGAACCATGCACCGAAGCCATGGGGGATCACTGACAGTGACTCCTTTGAAGCTCTCAGTGATCCAACAGGAATATAAGGGATTAAGCAGTCCTTGAGGTATTCTGGACTAAAATTGTTAAAGGCATAGTAAATTAATACAAGAATATAGAGCATTGTAGCCTAGGGCCAACTGAACTCAGTGGGGCTTACTTCTAAGTAGACATACATAGAATTATACTGTAAAATACAGTGGTGCCTATAATTAACATTTTACAGAAATAAATGAAGTGCTTACATGTGAAATAGTTTGCTGCTAATTCTCTATTAATAGGCATCATCTATAAATGCATCTGCAATGAATATTTCATGTTGTTGTATAAAAATGAAAGCAGCGAAGAGAAGAAGCCCACAGACCTAGGGTTGTGAAAGTCTGGGTTACACAAACTTTGTTAGTCATAACAGAAATGGAAGCTTTGATTGTTTTCAACCAGGAGAAGTATTAGTAAAACTATCTAAGAAGTGTCCACAAGAAACCGTGTAGGGAAGCTTATGAAAGCTGATTTCTTTATGACACAAATTCCTGCCATTGGTACATTTAGGCAGGCGAACTAGAATAGTAACTTTGGTGAACCTATCTGCAAGACTGTATCAGTCAACCTCAAGGGAGAAGATTATTGCAAAGGGTTGGATTAGATGTCCCTTGTGGTCCCTTCCAAATGTACAATTCTATGTGTCTATGGTGTGTTTCACCTTCTTCTCTTTCAAGGAGATAGAAAGGAACGAAATCCAGATTTTAATACAGCATGTTTCCACTCCCATGTTTAAAACACCACTGCTGTTATCAGATGTAGTGCAATGGAAATGTGAAATGCTTTCTAAGAAGTTGTTCCTTCATCATCACAGACGCTTGCCAAATATCACTCTGAAAGTCAACAGTTTCACTTGGGGCACTGTGATGTGTGAGTCAGTTTTTTAAAAGCACCTCATGTTTATGAAAAGAAACCTTGTTAAAATGTTTCAATGACTCACTTTCCTGCACATTTAATTAGCACTCAAATTCCACCCATACCTAAGTTGTGTTTCCCCCCTCGCCTTTCCTTTAAAGCATTAGTGTCAATACTACTAGTCTGCACAAAGGAGGATTATTTTTTAAAATAACAAATAACTGAAGTCGGTGATATTTTTACCACCCTGGTGACAATTATTCTATTCAGTGGCCAATGCATTAGTCTGACAAATTGAAAAAGAAAAAGAGATGAGACATTACCAGCCCATAATCTATCCAAGCTATAACTAAATCAGCATCCCGTGTGAGACAAAATGAGGTAGAGCCATCATCCTTTCCATAACTTGTCTGTAGAAAACACCTTCAATTCCTCTTGCTACACTAATTTGATTCTATGCTTTGTTGATGCCATACAAAAGAGCACAAAACTGATCTCCTATACCCTGATCCAGTCTTCCTCTCCCCAATTTAAATAGTTATGGGCTTCCCAGTCTGAAAACACTTCCTTGACACTTCTATGCTGCTTAAAAGCTGTTTCCCACATCTAAAGAGGCCATGGTAAGGCTACTGCTCCTGTGCAATATTGTTTTGCCAGCATCAAATAAAAGAGCCTTTTGCACTACCAGCATCGTGTGTCAGAACCTGAGTTTTCCTAGCTCAGTTTTTTAGTTCACTGTTTTTGGAGTACACTGTCACCAAGTCCAAAATATTATAGCATTGTCACCGTGTATTAAATGTGACAGACCTGGGACACTCCTTAGGCATACATAAACACATTTGCAGGGCTGCCCTACCCATGAAATGGGGAGAAGCAGAAGGTCCCACAAGGTTCCACCCTCATGCCAGCTGCCTTGCCACCTCCATCACTGGCAGAGCATCGATACTGATTTCCAGTGAGATCTCATGGAGAGATTGCTTGGATTTCTCTCGCTAGAAATCAATGCTGATCAATGCCAGCAGCAGACAGTGCTGGTGGAGGCGGGCAGTGTGGAGACAGTGCTGAAGGAGGTGAGTGACCCAGCTGGGGGGGGGGGCGAGCAGGCATCATGGCAGAGCAGCACTTTCTGTTTTGCCTCAAATGGCAAAACAGTACCGCCCTTGCAACATTTGTAAATTTAAAACCCTTTTAAAAAAAACCCTTAAAAAGACATGTGAGCTTCCAGGGCAAAGATGTCAGTTGAGGGATGGAGAATACTGATTAGTGTGTTTGGAAAGGAAATTTGTCAGTTGAAGCCCCAAAGAGTTTATTCTGTAGAAAGTATCCTGTATAAGCACTACACAGGGATGTTTTCCTTCCTTACTGTCAAACCTCAAAGAGCCTCAAACCTGTGCCCTCCAGTGTTACATAGCACAACAGGGGAAGACTTCAGGAGGGCAGACAAAAAAATGTCTCTTTTCCATTCTCCCTTCCTGAAACTCCCTCCCCTCTAGAGGTCTTAAAAACATGGTTCTTGTTTAAGATTGGCTGGATCTTGAAAATGAGCACTCCTCTTCTTAGGGGTTGGGCATACACTGCCACGTGTTACTTAAAAACAAGGTTCTTGTTTAGGATTGGTTGGAATCTTGAAAATGAGCACTCCTCTTCTTAGGGGTTGGGCATACACTGCCACGTGTTATTACAGGTTCTGCTTGTTCCATATGGCTGGGATCACATTTCCTGTTTTTCACAACATGTCAAAATATGCATTTGTCTTGTAACTTAACCCCTTAACAGCATCCCCGCATTGCATTATGATGTGGTGCTTGAACAACAACAAACTACAAACAAACAACAATTGAAGCTGCTTAAATTGTGAAGTGGTAACAAGCCTTTGATGTTCACTTAGAAAGAAATGGTAACGTTGAAAAAGTTTCAAGCAATGAATAGTGCCATTTGATAACAGCTATGTTGTGTGCGACCAAAAAGCAATCTTGCGAAGAGGACACATCATACTGTGGTAGTTTCCAGCAACCATAAATTAGCTTCGGGAAGAAACTGCAACTGCTTAAGCTTTACATACAGCAGGTGCAACTGATTCTTAAACTTGACCCATGCCATTCATGTTGCTCAGGTTACAGGACGTGATATGAGTCATGATGGGCAGAGCTGCAGTGACCTTATGTCACGTTAAGCAGTTTTATCTCAGTGACTTCAACAGAACTGATAAGTGATTAACAAAGAATATTTGATCTCTGGAAAGAATCTGTATTCAGAACTTTAACAAAACCTAATTAGGCTGCTTAGGATGCAGGAGAAAACCATAACAACATATATTTAGAGCACCGAAAACAGCTCACAGTAAAGTAGCTGCAGAGACAACAAGCTACCCCGATTGAGAGTGCATTGTGAATTAGTTATGGGTGTGCTTTTATCTCTCGACCGCACATGATGAGCAATCGGTTTTTCCATTGTAAGGGGAAATATAATACCCACTTCTCCCCATCAGGTCACCTTATTCAGAAAGCAAGAGAAACACAGTAGCAGACTTGCATTCTCTCAACAGCACTGTGATCTTTGAGGAGACTTGCAAAAACTTGTGCCCTCAATCTGCAGAAACAAAGCTTCTGAATTTTCCAGTTCTACCAGTTAAGAAGACTGAAAACATATAAACTAAGCATACTAGACCCCCTTCTCTGATGCTGGGAAACATTTATTTTTGCTAGGCTTCTCTTAGGCAGAATGTCATGAATGGCAAACTTGATACCAAGGCCATAATCTGATTTCAGAGAACATTGAAGTTTAAATGGAAATTAGGAAGCAAAGGTAAGGGGGAAAGTTCCATCCTCATTTTGAAAACTCATGTTTATGAAATAAAGAGAGAGAACTGATGGTCTATGCTTTTTAAGTCATTCAAGTGATACCTTAGAAACAGGCACACAAACTCTGGAGGGCTAACACTCTTGAGGGCCCCCTCAATCTTTGTTGGAAAGGCACTGGGCCCCCTCAATGTTGAGAAGCCTGGCACACATCACACACACACACATGCCATCACACACGATGCAGATTCAGCAGCCGGCTCCTTTGGAGCACTCAGCCTCCTCTAGACGATGCGTGGCATTACGCACACACAACGTGCACCGGTCCCCTTCAATCTTGGGGGCAACATGGCCCCTCTGCTCAGAAAACTGATCCAGAGCCTATTGACTGCCCTGAAATAAGAGAAAACCATTTTATTGTGCATGTATAACCATGGTTCTCAACTCTTTGAAAAGTGATGCCCTTATTGCTACTTTTCTGCCCAGATAGATAACCATGCCATGGTTGTACATATGAGGGTAAAGCATCCATCAAGTTGTCCTGACAGAATGGAACCTGTTCCACAACTCTTTCTAGCAATTATTCCTAAATTCAGTTCAACCTACAACTTTCATCCAAGCATTATTAAAATAAATACTGTAGAGTTGCAATCTGATGCACACTTATCTGTGAGTAAGCCACAATGAACACAGCAGGACTTGATTAAATGTGCACAGGATAGCACTGAATTCTTTCCTAATACTGTTTAACACCCCCCTAAACTGTTTATGTCAGTGGGAATAAGTTTCACTAAATCAGACTATGCTATACATCTTTTATAGCATTTCAAGGTTGCAACTGGTAGCTCTAGTTTATATTTGTTTATATTACATCAGAGAAGCAGATAGAAAAGGTCTAGTAACATGGTTGCCAAGTTTCATCAAGGGGGTCCTTTGTTCAAAGTCCAGCTCCACCTGTGTAACAGACTGTTGAGAAGACACACACGCTACAAGATACAAGACTCAAATATTCACCCATCAATTAGCCCTAGGTTTTCCTCTCTAATTTCTGAAAGCTGTATTGACATGACACTGCAACATGCTTATTTTTCTGACTGAACATGCAGCTCAAAGGCTTGCTTCAGAAATGTTAAATTCTGGTTAATTAGAAACCTATAACCTACTTCTTGGCCCTGTTCTGTATGAGAACCAAAGCAGCTCCGTAAAGTTACTTTCACAAATATTGCTCATTTTTTTCCCTGGAATGCATTATTTGTTAATGTGGCTCAGAAAGCTGAAGAGATTATAAAGTTTCAAACTGATGTATGTTCTTACCAATGCATTTTTTATTCTTGAATTACAGATGCAGGAAGTGTACAGACCTTTACACCATCTGAGAACTTACTGCAAGCATGTCTGCTCTGAAGTAAGCTCTCGGTGGTCACTTTCTGGTGTGTTTAGGACTGCAGCCAAAAAGCAGCTTTGAGTGTTTTCAATGTACATTTTAGGCAACGTAAGCATCACATCCATATTACTGCTGAGCTTTTTTCTTTTAAGGTCATGTGCGAAAAGGCCCTTTGAGTGCTTCTTACACCATCTTCACATTTGTGTACATTGTCAGGGTTGGGTAAAACAGCCATTTTAAAATTGAACAACCAGTCCAGCCACAATTGGTTCTACTCACCTATTTAAGTAAATAACAAATATAAACATCATAAAAGAATCCGCCCTAGGACTCTACCCTGTGCTGTTTGTATATGTGTGTGTGTGTGTGTGTGTGTGTGTGTGTGTATGAGGTTCTGTAGCCACATGCATGACCAATAGCCACATAAAGTGCCAGGGACGCCTGAACTTTTAAACCACGGGAGGGGGCAGAGTGGACAGCCTTGGTGATGGTGGATGGGCACTTTTCAGTTTCTATTATTCTTATCGCTTCGACGACTTCGCCCAGACGTGGTTCAGGGATCGGCTTCTGGAGCTCTCGGGAGCCTTGGCGCAGACGAAGCCTCGCTCCCTTCTGCAGCGCCCTGGACCCGGCGGGAGTCCCGCACGCAGAGCGCGAAGGCAATGCGGCGGGATGGAAAGGGCGGCAAGCGGGGCTTCCGAGAGCCTCTGGAGGAGGGCGCGCGCGGAGGGAGAGGAGGAGGGAGGTGTGTGGAGAGAAGGGGCTGCTCGTCGAGCGAGCGGCGCCTGGAAACCGGCCTCGGCCCTGGGGGGAAGCCATTGGTCCCTCAGGGTGGCATCTCGGAGGGCGAGGGAGAGGCACTCGCTCCTCGGTCCCGGGGTTCACTGACTCCCTGTGAGGGCCCCCGACTGGAGCTGTGAGGGAGAAAGAGGAGCGGGGGGGGGCGGAGGCGGGAGACGCGCGGCAAGGCCTGGTCCCGCGTGGCGCCCGGCGCCCTCCTCCTTACCCGTGGTGGAGAGGACGGTGCTGGCGAAGAAGAGGGCCGAGGTGAAGTCCCAGTTCCAGTTGCCGGAAGCGTTGCTCAGCACCGACACGCCGTAGTTGCTGGCCTCCAGGACTCGCGCCAGGAAGCTCTCGAGCTGCTGCTCGGAGAGGCACTCGTGCTCCTCCACGAAGCGCCGCTTCAGCTTGCGCAGCTCCTGGCGCAGCAGGTCCTCGTAGGGCAGCTCCACCGACGAGAAGACCACGGCGCCGAAGACCAGGTAGAGCGCGTAGCCCAGCACCAGCAAGCCGAAGCACCAGGCCGAGCGGTGCCTCTCCACCAGCCGCACGCACGAGCTGCCGGCCAGCGACTGCAGCATCTTCCCCCGCCAGCGCCTCGCGCTCGCACCCGGCGCCAGCCCGCCGCCGCCGCCTGCCCTCAGCACTCGCGAGGCTCCGGTCCCTGAGGGAGGGAAGGAAGGCGCGGGAAGCTCGGCGCCCTTTTGACGCGCGCGGAGGAGAGGAAGCGGGACGCCCGGGGCGGGCGACGGGGTGGGGAATGAGCACCGGCTCGGCCCCTACGCGCGTCCCCTGCCTGGAGGCTCAAGCTCCGCCACTCATTCAAACGAGCCCTTCTCCGGCCGTCTGGCAGCGGGGTTTCGCTTCGTTCTTTTCCTGTTTCCTCCTTTCGGTGACTTTCCGTTTCAAAAGCCCAGATGATGTGGCGCTCACGTGGCTTCCCGGCTCAGGTAACCGGGAACGGGTCGCGCGTCAGCTGCTGAACTGGTTCCAGCTGGGCAGCTCACTAAAGTGAGTGGGGAGGAGAGAAAAAAAAGGAAACACGCATACCTATAGATTCTTTCTCTCTCTCAAAATAAATAACACATCTGGATATCTGGAATGGCCCACACTCTCACGTACCTACCCGTATTCAATCTCTTTCTCTTTCTGCAAGCAAAGGGCACACCAGGAATGACCATGGGGAGCGGGGAGAGATGGTAAAGTTCATTTTCATTGTTATTCCACCATAAGTGTTCATTTGTTCTGCCATTTCATCCCGTGGTTTTGCTGTTCTGAATATAGACCTCACTGCTGGGCTCTGCTCAGTGCCATTGCTTTTCAGGACTGGTACTGGCAGTAGCTTCTCCATCTCTTTGCAGCAGGAAGACAGGACTGGTGGCGGCGGTGGCAGCACAGTCCCTCATAGAATCATAGAACTGTTGAGTTGGAAGGGACCGTGAGCGTCATCTAGTCCAACCTCCTGCAATGTCATGGAGAAGACCTCTCTGGAACCAGAAGCTTGTGGCAGCTACCACAAGGCAGTGGTGGAGCAAGGCAGGAGTGGTCCGCCCCAGGTGTCATCCTTGAGGGGGGGGTGACATCACCAAAGGCAGCACCCCCGGGACGTGCACCGCAACCAGCGCACCCCACTGGGACGTGCATCACCGCCCCCCCGGTGGGCGTCTAGCCCCGCCCCGGTGGGCCGCTCCATGTGCCGGAGCAGCTAGCTCCACCTTTGCCACAAGGTGCTTGAGAAGGAGGTAGTCAGCTTCAGGCATGCTTGTTGTTGTTTAGTCATGTCCGACTCTTTGTGACCCCATGGACCAGAGCACGCCAGGCACTCCTGTCTTCCACTGCCTCCTGCAGTTTGGTCAAACTCATGTTGGTAGCTTCGAGAACGCTGTCCACATTCAGTTATTCAGAGCCATTTCAATCTGGCACCAGGCCTGGGGTTGGCCTTGAAACAGTTTCTTTGGTCACCCTGCTTGATTGAGAGAAAGGCAAGTGGAGTGCAACTGATGCTTGATGCCATCTGACTCCATAGGTTGGGAGTTGGAAGCATTGTTTTGTAGTAGTCCTTCTGTATCTCTCTTTCGGAATCAGGTGAAGCTGTGCAGGTCTTTGGCCAGTACCTAGATGGCGGCAATAAACAAAAGTCGTATACTGACAAGGTGGAGGCTAGGGGGTTCCTAGGTCCCAAAACTGGGTTCATGGCTTGTTGTGCTTCCTCCTAAAAGATCAAGTACGTAGCCTGGGTCTACTGCTTGATTCCACCCTGTCATTGGAGACTCTGAATTTGAAGTTCGCACTGAAAACCTCTATTTTAATGGACAAAGGAGTGCCTTTACTCTCTATAGAGTGGTACCTCAGGTTACATAGGCTTCAGGTTATATACACTTCAGGTTACAGACTCCGCTAACCCAGAAATAGTGCTTCGGGTTAAGAACTTTGCTTCAGGATGAGAACAGAAATCATGCTCCGGCGGCGCAGCAGCAGCAGGAGGCCCCATTAGCTAAAGTGGTGCTTCAGGTTAAGAACAGTTTCGGGTTAAGTACGGACCTCCAGAACGAATTAAGTACGTAACCCGAGGTACCACTGTACAGTGCAGGACTTCTGAAAATCACAAAGCCAAATCTTTATCCATGTTTAATAAAACCAAGGCAATCCTGCATTGTTCATCACAGGGGTAGCCAACATGGTGCCATCCTGATTTTGCTAGACTACAGCTTACATCTCTCACTGTTCCTGACCATTGGCCATGCTGTCTGGAGCTCATGAGAGTTGGAGTCCAACAACATCTGGAGGAGACCATGTCAGCTACCCTTGAGATTGTGAGTGCGCTTCCCAAGAAGTACTCCAAAAGCCCACCACTTCTCTTTTGCTAGGTGGGGAGGGGAGACTTCTTTTGTTAACCTGCAAAACGTCGTTCTAAAACCACCCAACACTTTTGTGAGTGTTTGCAATCAAGGCTGTAGCTGACTCAGAACCCCTGAACTACAAAAAACTCTCTAAGAATCCTGTTCCTCAAGGCTGCCCAGTCTTTCAAGTGTGTCATTTGTTAGTTTTGCTGACAGACCTTCTGCCTAATTAAATTGTTGGGAACTTCCAGCAGGGTCCTTGTTCTTGCACTGCCAAACCCCATTCCCTCTCCTGGAGAGAGCATAAAAAGGGAAAGATATTATAACTCCCTTTCTCCCTCTCCCTCTGCCTCTTTCTGCTTCTCTGCCCCACTTGCCAGTTTTCCAATTATCACTGCAACTCCTCCATCCTCTCACCTCAGAAGTTGAAGCAATTCATTGCAAGCTCCACTGCAGTCAACAACACTCCTCGTGGCTCTTTCTATCTCCTTCTCCCTCCTTTTACAGTTAACTTGCTCTTTCATTATGGTTTCTTAATAAAACTCCATTTCCAGAAAACCTCTGATCTTGTCAGGAGTGCCTTACGTGGACACTCCGCTACCAAGATTAAAATGAAACAACTGCATCATGTATGCTTGGCGAAGCATGCTAGTTTGGGTGCTCACTCTGTCACACTGACAGCATCCTGTCCTCTGGCAGAATAGAGCCAGGGTTGCAGTAGGAAAATTTCCACAGCTATATTCTCCCCATGATTCGTTTCCTGGAATGGCTTATTTCCTGAACATGGAGAAATAATATGCAGATATGTGTTCTGAGCAATCCTCATAACGGAAGGGAGGAAAGGATGATATCCTTTTTGTTTCATAATCAAGGTTTAACAGCATGAAGGTGTGTTGTATCCAGATGTCTTCATCAGGCAGGTTTCTTATAATGATAATCCCTAAAACAGAAAGTGTGTTCAGAATTGTTTTTCTTTACCAAGTTACGGTATATCACTCCATTCTATAAAATATTCAGAGTATTTTTACTCAAGGTTATTTAGTATTGGTTTTTTGAACTTCAAAGTATATTCCCACAGCATTATTTCTTTATGCCAGATATGAAGAACACTTCACCCCACGCCCCACCCCTGATATTGTTGAAACGCAATTCTCATCATTCCTGACCATTAGCCTGGTGAGAGTCAAATAATATTTTGTATTGGGGGGGGGGAGGGGAAGGTATCACAGGTTTCCCTTTCCTGGTTTAAACTCATTTAGCAAATAAAATAGACTTGGGTGCATTTCAAAATAGAAAGCAGGTGAACAGTTGGTATTAATGCAGATGCACATTTACCTTGTTATTTTTGTCCAGGCTATATGTGGACAGGCTGGATCTGGCCATGATTCTTAACATATACTGTTAGCACCTATCTGTCTCGAGAGACAGTAGAGTGTGCCTCTAAGGGTGAAGTCAAACTGCTGCATTAGCAGCACTGAAGCTACCTTCCATAGTGTGCAAGCCAGGACATTATGTATAGAGGTCCTGGGCTGCTTAGACAACAATACCTCCCTCTCAGCCTTGCTGATGTGGTCCAAAGGAAAACAGAGCATTTGGCACTAACTTGGCTGCAGGAGTTGCCAAAAGGAGGCATACAAGGGCGCCATCCAACCATCTCATTCCTGATTTGTGTTTACTCCTTAGCCTTTTCTTTTTCCGAATTACTTGATTGAGTGTTCAGTTCTGTCCAATATGCACATTAATAACTAAATAGTCTTTTAGGAAGAGGACAAGAAGAAGATGAACTGGTGCACATTTGAAATCTTTATTGGGAATGAGGTTCTGTGGGTTAAATGTCATGACATGAGATAGAAGCACGGATCTTTATGGGCAATATCATGTCTTGCTATGTTAGTATTTATACAATGGATTTATTGACAATGATTCTTGTGTCAACATAAAATACAACTTGCTTTCATTGTTGGTTTTACAAGGTTTCTGGAATAAAGGGGCCTTGTGGCTTTTCAAAGTCAGCAAGTGTGACTTGGAAAACAAACCTGCAACAAACCATTTTAGCTTAATGAGGCTTTTCTGTAGAAATAGTTGAGAAAAAATGCTGTACTTAAGTAAGCAAGTTATTAATGTGTCATTCATTTTGGACCTATTGCCTTATAACATCACCACTTTACTTTTTTTGGGTTACCACAATGACGCATGCTGAATGTGCTTCCAAATGGAAGGTAGGCTGCTTCAAGTAGGAAGCTAACGCTCACCTTACCGAAGAAATTAAAGGACGGTTCCAAAGACTCCTATATTTAGATGTTCATAAATAGTCAGGCTTGTGCTGTATCCTTCATCCAAACAAAGGGAATCCTTAGTTCCTTGCAAAGGGCACAAGTTGATTTTCCTAGGCAAATGAATGGAGGATTGCATTAGGCTCTCAGTAGTTCTTTGACCTTATAAAAATTATGAGCTATGAAGTGAGGATGGCCTAGTAAATTCAAGAGCTTATACTATAGGACGTTATTTAATTGAATGAATGCTAAACCCATGAAACAGGACTGTCAACCAGTCAAAAAACTTAAGTTGATTAAGGTCAAGGTTCAGCAACAGAGGAGCTATAGGATTTGGAAGAAATGCCACTACCCTGGAGAAATATCAGATACACTGGTGAAACAGCTGGAGTGGGATGGAGTCATGGGTGGGAAATGAGTGGCATAGAAAAGGAGTACAATCAACAATGATGAGTGTGCGGGGATAAATCTGTCCATGAATTTGGAGTATCAATTCTGAGAAAGTTTGTGCAACAGAGTAAGCTTCTGATCTACTTGGTAGTCCACATTTTTAGGCTATCCGATACATGCATTCGCAATTTTCAGAAGAAGAAAAACTGTTAAGTACCACAATAGAAATGTTGACATCCTGTCCTTCTGCAAGGAGAATGAGTAGAATGTACTTTCTTAAATACATCTAATAATTTATAAACCACATCAGCTTAAATTTTAAAGTGTGCAGCACATTGACTCATATTACTGCCTTCTATTTTAATATCGCTCTTATTTATGTTATCAGCAAATGAAACATGGCAGTGTAGAAAATGAACTTCCAAAGATTGAATACTGGAGGAGCATTTATTTATCTGATGTGGCAGCAGAATTTAATTTTGACCTTTATTGAAATCGCCTCTATTTAATAATGTGAAAAAGATAAACAAGAGGTTTCAAAGCACATTCAGGATTTACCATGGAGATTAACTCATTACAACAGGATCATAGTTTACAACACAAGTTCATACATGTCTGCACAAAACTAGCTCCCACTGAGCTCAGTGGAGCTTGTTCGCAGGAAAGTGGATATAGAATGGCAGCTGTAATCCCCTGTTTCAAGAGTCTGCGGCCACAGTGGCATACATGAACCTTTTTTGACTACAACACTCTGTTATGACAGGAGTGAAGACCACAGGTCAAATATGGCATGTGCAGTTCTTTGAGTACCTGGAAGTGTTAACAAATGCTAAGTGCTTAATTGCTCAATTGCTAGAGCATAAAACTCACGGTCATGGGTTCAAGACCCAAATTGGGTGAAAGATTCCTGCATTGCAGGGGGTTGGACTAGATGATCCTTGTGGTCCCTTCCAGCTCTACAGTTCTAAGAACTCCATGTTTGGCTCCCAACATGGTATCAGGTGTGGGGCAGGTAGAAACATATCTAGATCAGAGATAGGGAACCTACAGCCCTCCATTGTAGCCTACTTAAATTTCCATCACCTCGGACCATTAGCTGTGCTGGTGGATGCTGAGGGGGGGGAAGGTGGAATCCAACAACATCTGGTCCCCCCTATCCCTGACCTAGGTAGAGCAAGCTGGTACCCTTTTTTGACCATTTTCTGTCTGGCAGCAGAAATGGTCAAATGGACTGGTGTTCTATGGGGGAACAGTCTCCTGTTCCAGCAAAATCCCTAGATGAGATGACAAATTTGTGTTCCAGTTCTCTGTGTGTTTAATCAGAACTCTCTCTTTTGTTGAGCTGGCCATACTTCCTAGTTGTAAATGTGCATTAGATTGCAGTTGGGTAGGGCAGTAGTCTAGCTATGATGACTCCATTAGTTCTAGGATGACTTTCATTTTGCCCAGCCACCCTTCTCCCCATCTTACCAAGTCCTCTCCTTTTTCACAGGCAATTAGGCCATTGCATTATCCATTCCCCCCGCTCAAACAAAAGGGTGCCCCCCCACATAGGAACAACTGTCTTGCTAGATGTTAGTTTCAAATGTTAGAAGTTGTCTCAGTGTATTAGCTGAAACTGTCCCTTTCATATTCTAAATTGATTTTAGTTGTAAAAAAATACTGACTAACGTGTATTAAAAGTCTACTTGTTCTGAAGCCAGAAGTACAATTTGTATCCTCAGCCTCTGCTCAATACACTGTTATAGATAATAAATTATACAAAGAAATGGTCTCCGGTGTTTTGGGGTAGAACAGAGTTGCATTATAAATGCTTCTGTGTCATAGTCTGAAACAAGTAAAATCTATATTCATGATTTGTTTGTGCCTTTTAAATAGCAGTTATGGGATTGAAGTAAATATATTCAGTGCTGGGTGGGTGGAAGAGGAGGATAATGAAATTCTTTCCAGCAGAGAAAAAGAGAGCAACATTATTTAGAAAAGATCCACACAGGAAATAAATATTCAGATTTGAAATGCTGGAATTCCAGTCAAAATTATTAACTAGACTCTATGGCATAACCTTAACAGTATCAATTATAAATATTTGCAACTTCTATTTTGATGAGACTTTGTTTTCAATGAGCTAATATAATAACCCTTTTATTCACAGATTTGTATATTGCCAGTTGTACTCATGAAAATATATTAGAAACAAGAGCCCCGTTAAAGATGCAGTCCTATTCTCTTGAGCTCCACTTCTAAAATACAGTATTTGCGACCCACTGCCTATGGAGCTGTAGCAGGAGTGGGAAACTGAACCTGACCATCAGGCCTGATCTTTTATTTGTCACACCCACCTGTTGGGTGCCCAACTTTGTGCCCACCTGCCAAACTCAAAGGGGCTTGTTGATCAGTAGTTATAGTGAGCCCCTTTGAAGTCAGCTATCAGCTGATCAGTGCTGACAGCAAGCTCAGTTTCCAATCAAGTCCTTACTGCATCTGAGTCCAGTGGAGTCACTGGAGAATCAGAGGAAGTCATGTTACAGCAGCATAAATCAAAATATAACTTCTGGAGCAGCTTTATACCAACCGGAAGAGGGTACCAGAGGAAGCGATCACTTCCTTGCCAGTGCAATGCTGCTATCATTTTGCCTACCAGTGTGGTTTCTGCTTATACACTACCAAGACCAACTACGTTGCTGCCCCTGCAGGAAGCCAAGAGTGTTTGGCTTCCTTGACTAGGCAGATATGGAGAAAATACCTTTCAGAATGGGAATGATTTCTGCAACAGACAGAAGCCAGTCCAGTTCTTCAAAGAGGCTAACATTGCCAAGTGTTTGGTTTGTGTGGAATGGCACAATGATTAAAGAGTGATGGTTCAAATATTCTGGGTTATACATAAACCTCATTGCTATGATTCCTCTGTAATGAAGTTGATGCCTTAATCATCCATGGGCAAGTGGGGGGGGGAACCATGCCAAAAATCTCCAAAAAATTTAAATAAATGGTGCCACAATTATGGTGTAATGAACTTGGCAATTAACAGAATTAACATGGAAGAGGATATGAGCAGACTGAAGTTCTAAACATTGTCTGTTGGAAAGCAAGAACCTTTTTGTCTTGGAAAATGCATAAGAAATGCAATACAAGTTTAGCAAGGTAGACCCAGGAGAATTTTTATATGTGCTATTTTAAAATAGCAGAAGCCCCCAAGGCCTTCTCCTGTTTTAGCTTGACTGTCCCCTTGCCCCACGGAGCAAGATGCCCTGTGAGAAGGACCCTGATTATTATACTTGGTGCTGAGGCTTGTTTGTATAACTAAAGCCAAGCTGTACAGGAATTTAAACATGAATTTATCAACATCAGGTCTGAAGCTGTGGGGTGGAGATGAAACCCCTATCCTGCCTCTGGCTTCTCCCTGCAGTTCATTCCCTGAGATCATTTCATTTTCATGCAAGCTTTGATACGAAAGCCTGGTTGAAAGCAAAGTGTAAGGGGAAAGTGAGGGCCTGAGAGAGGTTCAGTACTCTATCCACACATTTGCTTCTGGACTTCCCAGAAGCATTTGGTTAGCCATTGTGGGAAACAGAATGGTGGACTACATGGGCCTTTGGTCTGGTCCAGCAGGAGCCACCCCTCCTCCACTCTACATGTGACTGGGGCATCCCCGTCTTAATGACTGAGGTCTGCTATACAGCTGTTTCTCCCTCAAAAACTTCCCTCAAGGATATTTCTGTGAGTACAACGTGTTTCAAGAAGCAAATCGAGGCAGTCAAAAACATGGGCTTTCGTATTTTGAATGGGAAGCCAAATTCTGACATTGATTAATAGACCGGTGCCTTTATCAATCTATCAGAGAGACAGACGCTCCATAAGCTGATTCCTTTCAGCTTCAATATATACAACCATATATATTATCACTTATGGCAGCCACTTACAGAAGCCCTGAGGGACAAACTGCAGAAGGGAATAAATAAGTAGACCCAGATAATCATTCACTGAAATTCCGTTTTATTTTTTCATAATACTGCATGATTTCAGATCTTAGCAGAAAGTGACAGTGACATTGTAAGAACCACAGTTGAGAGGGAAGGTTCTTACGTATTTGAACTATTTGATCTCCTTTTCCAACATGGTTGGTAGATGTGTGCTGCAGCCCATAAATACCTAACCAACGACGGTGTTTGGCACAAGGGGGGTATTCTGCGTATACCATCCTATCAGGTGGTCTGTTCCACAGTGTTGGAATCAGGCCTTCAGTGCAGCGGTACTTATTTTTGGAACTTCCAGAGCATATCAGAGAGGCTACTTCTCTATTGCGGGTGTGTGCAGTGCTAGATTAAACCCTGTGGAGGCCCCATGGCAGTCAAAATTTGGGGGGGGGGCCCCTCACAAATTATTTCCTCATTATTTTTTTTATTTCACCAACCAACAATTATAATAAACCAGTTTTGACCCATTGTTGTGGGAACCCTAAATGGCCTGGGGACCACAGGCCTACTCTGCCTATTTGGTAATCTGATACTGGGTGTGTGTTTGTTTTCTTTTGTCACCTGCTAACAACATTCCCCTTTCAACAAACCTTATAAAATCTTTAACCCAGTTGCCTTATGCCCTGGATCAATTTTTTTGGATGTCCTCCTTTTTAAACTGTTTTTATATTGTTACATACCACCTCAATCTCTGATGACTGGCTGTACAAGATTCTAGGGGTTGCAGGCCTGCTTATCCAGAGTTTGAGTTTCCTTTGGGACAATAGCCAGTCCACTGTCCCTCAGACCTTGGAGGGGGGGCGGGGCAGAGGACTATATTTTTGGGGGGGAAATGAACAAATTCCTATGCCCCACAAATAACCCAGAGATGCATTTTACATAAAAGCACACATTCTACTCATGTAAAAACACGCTGATTCCCGGACCGTCTGCGGGCTGGATTTAGAATGCGATGAGGCCAGATCCGGCCCCCAGGCCTTAGTTTGCCTACCCATGCTATGGTGTCTTTATGGCTTATTTACACACATGTACAGCCTGAGCCTGGAGGGACTCATAGCAGCAGCAGCAGCACCCCAAAACATACCAGCTTACTCCATAGTAGCAACATCAGCATCCTTCCCCTACAGCCTCTCTTGCTCTGCTGAGTACATCCCAGCTCAGTGTTCCTCTCTGCTTCCTGGTTATAGTGCAGGTCATCAGCACCACACTGTAACCAACTGAACTATCCTTATAAGTTTGCAGGTTTGATCCCCATATGGGACAACTGCATATTCCTGCATTGCAGAGAGTTTGACTGGATGATCCCCAGAGACCAGTTATATGTACAGTTATATGATTCCACATTATTAAAAAACGGCAGTTGTCTTGAACTCAGACCTATTCAGAGTAGACCCACTGAAATTAAATTAGCCAGGTCCATTCATTTCCATGGGTCTACTCTGAGCTAGCACTGGGTGCAACCCAGAGATAGCAACTTCACAAGTTAAGAAAGCAGGTGTTTCTTTCACCAGCTCACTAAATAAATAATTCCCAACCAGGCCTCACAAATCAGCAGCACTTACACTGCCAAGCTCAATAAATAAAGCAATGCTTTCCACTGCTATTCCTTTTTGGTTCCTGGGAAGCCAGCAAATAGCTAACCACAACAAGGTCTGCATGTGAAAACAGCTGAAATGTATGGGCCTATGGGCCAGTTATTGCAAATACAGTATTTTAAAAGACAGCAAAAAAAGGGGGGGGGAGCAATTGCCAGAAAAAGTTGTTAAAATAACAAAAGACTCCCCTGATTCTAAAAGAAAATGCATTTACTATGTGGCCTGGCTCAGAGGTAAGCCATCAATACATTCATGATAAAAGCACCAACTGGAACATGAAATAAGAGCATGAAAGTAAATGTTCTTCAGTAGTGAGATGTAACAGGAACAGAGCAGTGGAACCTCAGGGACCAGCAATGGCAGAAAGATATGGCACAGTATGGACTTGCAGTCCTGCAATAATTTCTCCTGGATGACTTCCTAGGTAAGTTTAGCTAATGCCCGCAGTCTAACTGATCATTGTATTATGTGGAAGAAATTACAAAGCATTTAAAGCAATGACTCCAATCTAGCTATATCAGGCATAGGCAAATTCTGGCCCTCCAGATGTTTGGGACTACAATTCCCATCATCCCTGACCACTGGTCCTGTTAGCTAGGGATGATGGGAATTGTAGTCCCAAACATCTGGAGGGCCAGAGTTTGCCTATGCATGAGCTATATAGTCTTTTTGCTTTCCGAAATAATGTTTAAAAAGGAAAGGGGGTGGACACCAAGTTATACAATGCATATATCTGGATTGAGTTTGAGAGGAATGCAGATTCCAAAGGATTTCTGCAGAATCAGTGCCTGACATCAGCTTTCAATTTGATCTTCCCTCAGCACCCTTAACAAACTAAAGCCCCCAGAATTATTTTGGGGGGAGCCAGAACTTTTTCAAGTGGCATCATGATATGAATGTGGCCATTAGCTGGAATCTTGAGTTTGTTCCTGCTGGTGGGAGCAATGTGCTAATCGTTAAGACAACGATAATGCCTTTTATGGGTTTTGCTATTAGATATCACACTTTAGAAATTCAAAGACTGTCCTTTCATGTAGGGACTGGCAGGCAGCCCACATGTAAACCATCGCATCTGATGAATGCACTTTACGTTTAATCAGTAAACATAATTATACATGTCACTACAAATGTAAATGTAATTACAGATACAGTGTACATGGACTGGGAGGCCACAGCCAATTTCGGCTTCCTAG